CTGGCGGGGGTGCGGGGCCTGGCGGACCCTGGGTGGGAGGCCGGGGAAGCAGAGGGCGCAGGGAGCGCTCGGAGGGGGCGCCCCATGTTGGGGGAGTTTGGCCGTTTTGCAGTCAAAGCGGTCCAGGCTTTGTGTGGGTGGTGTGAAGTGGGAGAGGGTTTGTGGGACTAACGCAGCCTACAACAGTGAAAAGAAATGGATTTTTCTAAGGGTGTTGTGTGCGTCCGCACCGCGCGTGCGATGACCCTTCTTGCGGTTAAAATTGTCGTCAAGGGGTTCTGCATGTCCCCTTCGGGAAGAGCTTTGGTCCTCTGTTGAAGTTGCACTGAAATGTATCAGAAGATTCCTGTTGGGTTGGCTGCTGGTCTGCGCGCTGCTACAGTACTGCTCTGCTCCGGGCTCCGGCCATTGTGGATGTGCCAACAGAGAGCTTTCGGTTCAGGTTGGCTCTGAGAATGAGCTGACGCTCAGTGCGAGGCCACATGCAGAACAGGCGAGTTCGTAAGCGATGCTGTAGATTTGCACTAAATGCCTTGAATTTGTCATTATACCTCCCCCCTCGCCCCCCCGTTTTGTCTTCCCCACTGAGATAACAAAAATGAGAAGCAGAGTGATATTAAACTAGTTTTAAAGGTGGTGTAACTGAGATGGAGCATTGCTCAGCTGAAGTGGTTGTGTGTACAGTTACACTGTTAAGCTGTTCTGGGTTTTGTATGTTGATGTTCCGTGAGCATCTGTAGAAACTTAACAGCTGAACGGATAGATGTCACCAAAACATTCTCTTTTACTGATGTTCAGTCTGGTACAATAGCTGTGAATCCAGTATGGTTACTGTTTGGTTGGTGATACTGTTGTCCTGGTACATTGATAGTCTGCTGAAAGTAGAAGCTCATTGTTTGGAACCTGTTAAGCAAAATGTTAGCGGAGTGTGTTGTTTGATGAGAAAATGGGTATTAGCTACCAGTGTGATTCAGCACTGAAGGACAAATGCAGTCTGGCATTAGTGGTGTACAAAACTCTGGATGGGACTAGCTGAAAGTCTGCGAGTCTGCTTATTTTTTTTTTTTAAGAACAACTAGCTATAGTAAAAAGCTGTTCACATGGTCAGCAGAGTGAAGAGTGGAAATCAGAAGTGCCAGAAGTCTACCCAAGTGAAGCTGAAATTAAATGGAGTTGCTGACTGCAAATGTGAAAGAAGGACAATACCTGGTGTTATGGTTTGAGAGACCCGTAACAATTTGTTGTCATTTAGACAATCATTCTATCACCCACCCGGGAAGAGGAATCAGGAAAAACAAGGAAACCCGGGAGCTGAAGTATGAACAGATTTAATAGAGTAAGATTAGATAATTAACGTTAACAGCACTAAAGAACCAATATTGATCCCAATACCAATACAGAATATGCAAAGATTATACTCAGCCAATTCCATCAGTAGGAAGCTGTGCACTCCCAGCAGCGGACAGCAAATGTCGGACACTGCGAGCTCTATGGCTTCAGGAGGAAGGGAAGGCCTCAGGAGTCCGGCACCAGGGCACAAAGTTCTCAGGATGGCAGCCATCAAGGGAGAGAGAGAACTTGGCAGCGAACTTTCTAGTTTATAGTGAATGTGACGTTGATGGTATGAAATAATCTTGTTGGCCAGCTTGAGTCAAGTGCCCAGGTCTCGCTCCTCCTCATCCCTGCGCCTGGCTAGCTTGAAAACACTGAGACCTTGAAACCCACACACCATAGCTGGCTGTAAAGTAAGTATTTTCACAAATTCAGACACTGGAGTCTTCTAAAAGTGCAGTTTTCCCAAGTATTAGAAGAGTAGTCCTGTGTCGCTCAGGCCAGTATACCTGGTTAAGATGAGGGGTAGTTGTTGCAGAAAAGCAGGTGTGAAGTGTCTGGTTAGTCTGTATTTTGAATAAACTTGCTGTGATTGAGTTTTGCAGCAGCCTGTCAGGCAAGCAAGCAGGATGTAAAATTGCTGCTCTAAAGTTTGTCTCTGAGTTTATGAAATACATTGCATCTTGCTAGCTGTAATAATGTGGAGCTACAGTAGAGGACACACAGGCTCACTCCTGCCCTTGTTGTCTGAGGATTTGGGATTAAGGAAGGTTGAGGAAAGTGAACCTGGGCAGAGTTTTCTGCTGTGTGCTGGCAGTATCTCTTTTTACACTGATTCATTTTCTTCAACAAGGTTTTGGGAAACACTCATGCTCTCTGATAATGGACTGTGGGTGTTTTCTTTAATAGGTATAAAGTATACCTTAAAACCCAACAGAAACATATATAAAAATATGTATAATGCTATGTAACAATACTTAGTAATAATATTACTTATTAGCAACTGAAAATTGGTATTTCAGTCAGTATTACTGCTTTTCAAGATCCTTTCACTTGCACGTGTCACAGATCTGTGTTTTTATTTGCAGGTTCGAGTGGAAGGCTTTAACTACGTTGGCATGGGTAATTCCACTAACAAGAAAGATGCACAGAGCAATGCGGCTCGAGACTTTGTCAATTACTTAGTTCGAGTGAATGAAATGAAGAAAGACGAAATTCCTGCTTTTGGAGTAAGCTGCTCTTTCTCCTTACCAAAGGCTAATCTTAAATTGCAGTGCTGTGCATCCAGTTGCATTTTATCCCTGGAGTTCATTTTGGCTCCTGTGTGCAGTGAAGCAGACTGAAAGTGCAGGACTTCTGCTTGCAGTGCTGGACAGCTGGAATACATACATGAACATTCTAGGGTGATCTAGAAAAACAGCTGTGTCTTGGTTCACATAACTGATGGGGCTGAGGAGAATTCAGAGTCTCTGTAAGGTGCAGTCTGACTTTAAAAGCGCTGAATACTCAGACCTGAGACTGGGAAATCTTTTAAATGCATGTTATGGTACATAATACCGTGTCCCTTAAAAAAAATAAAATAACAAAAAAAATGATCACAGACATCTCAAACCAGACATTGAAAATTTGGCATTTTTTAAACCATAAACGCTTTCGTTATGTCTGTAATAGGGTCATTGCTTTTTATGATGTTTTGTGAACCATGCGAGTATCAGCAGTGACTATCATATAAAAGCTGAGGAGATGGGTAACTCTGTCTTTACAGCAATTTTAGAGAACAGTAAATAAAGCATGAAGCTACATGTTGTATGTTGGGAGGGAAGAGTCTTTTTCTAGTGCCTCATTAAGGATATAGCTGTATAAGATAGATAGTTTGATCAGTGGGATCAGTGTCCCTACCTCATTAGCCTAGGTGAAGCCCTATGGTAGCAGGACAAATAGTGTTTCTGATTGACCGGTTAGTTTCATGGCAATGCAATGTGCTGCATGGTTGGGTCCTAGATGAGGATAGCATGTTCTGTGTCTTGAATAAAGCAGAGGTGGCGTGATCAGTTAGCTAAACATACACATCTCAAAATGGGAAGAATTCAAATTGTTACTGAACAAAATTGGTTCTGTTTTACCTCAAACCAGGACAAATGATTAACCATAATTTTGTCATTTCCTAAAGGTATTAATGCTTTCTTACAGCATGGGTTTTTTGTTTGTTACTTTTTTTTAAAATTTATTTATTTGTCTGTTCACAAAGTATATTTGAATTCCCTTGGATATATGCTAGGGTCTGGTATCTGTTATTTTACCCTGGGTGCTGAAACAGTTGATTTTATGATTGGTGAACTTCAGTAAGTGAGGGCTACTTGTTGCTTGGAAATCTTTCTATGGAACACCCACAATAAGCCAAATACTCAGCAATTGTATTCCTTTCAGTTTTTAAAAGGATGTTACTATTGGGGGCTACTACTGAGGGTAACTGTTGCATAATCTCTTTAAACTGCCTGAACAGTTTTCTAGCTAAATAGTAAAAAGACTCATTCTGTATGAATGTGCTGATATTTCCCTTCATTCTGTCTCCTAGCCAGCAGCTGGTGGTACCCCTGATGGACATGAAGCAGCTAGAGATGTTACTAGCTCCAGTTCTACTTTGGGTGGACCTCTTCCTCCGCATTTGATTCTAGAAGCTGAAATAGGTAAGACTGCGAAAACAGTAATTTACATGTATGTGGATGTAATATATGCATATAGATTTGGGTGGGTCTCTTTCTCCCAAACAGCATAATTCTGCAGACAACAGACACTTAGAAGTCATTGGAGCTTTGAGGCAGAGGAGTGAATGACTGCATGAGATCTGAGTGACTGGTCCTGTCCTGTTGAGATTGCCAGGCAATACCTCTCCATTGCTAAAACTTGTTTTGGGGGAGTTATTTTGTTTCTGTTTGTTTTTTTTTTTTTCCATGTGGTAGGCAATGGCCCAGGTGCGACACCTGGAAACTGTGGCAGTCGTGGAGCTCAGTGGGATCGGGGTGCAAATTTGAAAGACTACTATTCAAAGAGAGAGGAGCAAGAAGTGCAGGCAGTAAGTCATTCTATGTAATTCTCCTTTACTTTTGTTCTTAAATAGGTATCTTTCACTCCCTTTTGTTTGTTATTAGCATTTATAATCACACTTGCTGTTTTAGTGTGATATTTTGCTGTTGGGTTTAGCTTAAGTTGTAGATTTACCTGCTGACTTTTACAAAGGTAACTTGTTTAAACTGCGAACAAAATAAATCACTTTGGATACTATGAATATCCAGTTCTTTGTATAGACATTTTGTTGTGAAAATAAGGAAATACTGAGGACTTCTTAGCATTTTCTGTGATGTCTTAATTACTATTAAGCATCTAGACAAGTTATTTAAAAGACATTGACAGAATGTTTAAAATTGAAATCTATTAGAAACGGGTAAATGATACTTCTTTTCCAATATTAGACCTCGGAGTCAGAAGTGGACTTAAATGCTGATCTTCACGGGAATTGGACCTTGGAAAATGCCAAGGCTCGCCTGAACCAGTTTTTCCAAAAGGAGAAGATTCAGGAAGAATATAAATACACTGAAATGGGGCCTGATCACAACAGGTTTGGTAGTTTTAGTCATCTTCTGCATATGAAGGGTTAGAAATATTTTCAGTGACAGTGGCTAATCACACTTATTTGCAGTGCTCCATAGTGCCATTTAAGAAAGCAGTGTTTCTTTACCAGGACCAACAACATCCCTAAATCTTGAAATGGGGGTGGTGAGCCTTAGTGCCAAGATCTGAGTGACTCTGAAGAAATTTCCCTCTAATGTTTTTCATGGATGTGCAGCTTTTAAAATGATTGCTGTGCTCTAGCTAACTGTTGAGGTGTCAGTTTGAGTGGAAATAGTGCTCAGTTGCTTGCAGTAATTGTTTGTATGACTGTAGTTGCTTTTGTGCAGTTTGAGTAAATCTTAATGCTTACATTTGCTTATGTGGAAATGTGCTTTAAGGACATCTTATTTCTATTTTTATTATAATTAACTTTTTTGGCAGTGGAATCTTCTACTGGAAAAATTAGTTTGGCAGAATCTCCCTGAAGGAGTTTTGAGGGTCTTAAATTTCAGTTGAAACCAGCTGGGTATTACTCTTTTTTGTCTTTCTGCCTGTTCCATCAGAAAATTTACACGTGCTTTTCCCAAATTAAAATAATGCATAAGAGATTGTGCATGAAGAATTGATGGGTTTGAGTTTTTACCCCTGTTTAGAATAGTCTTTACAAAACATTAAAACTTCAGGATGTTCTATTATTTCTTTTTCTTATTCTATTAGGTTTTGTCATCAGAAACAGCAGCGTGCTGCTACTGGATTCTTGTTGTTGGGTTTGGTGTTTTTTTTTTTTTTTTCATTATATAAATTTGTTTTCTATCAGAGTTGGGGGTTTTTGGGTTTTTTTTGGGAAGACAAGTGAATTTTCTTATTACAGTCTTCCATGAGAGTCTCACTTGCAGGACCTCTGGTATTCTTTTGTTATTAAGTCTTAGAAGCCTTTAGAACATCTAAAATCTGTGTATTTGTGTCAGAAAGTTCTAAACTCTCATTTAAAACCTACCTTCAAGTCACTTAATCTCCATTTATGTTTTCAAGCAGGGACATTTCTTTCCCTTAAATGAGTAGCATAAAAGGTTTGTACAGTCCTAGGAATTTACATTGCAGATGTAGTTCTTGAGCACTTCTTTTATTCTGCAGATTATTTGTGCAGCTCATTTTGTTATGCCTTCTGCAGGTAAAAGCATTAAACCCCATGTATTTAAATGCATATAATCTTGAGCAGAATGAGGTGGCCACAGATGACAGTATGTTTCTCAGCCCACTTACTGTTCTTCCAGAGAGCATTTCAGAGTTTTGCATTTACTACATCCAGGAAAATTTGTGCAAATTGCCCTGGATGGAATAGCAGAAGGGGGAACTAACAATCAGCTGCAATGCATCAGATAGGCATGAAACAATCCTAATGTGTTCTAGCATTCCTTGAGAGAGGGCAAACTGTTGGATTTAATCCTTTTGGTATGTATAGTGGCAGAGGAATAATTTGAGATGCTTCTGGAGTTTTGAGGACAGTAATATAGTTGGGTTTTGTTGGCTTGGTTTTTTTTTGTTTTGTTTTTTTTTTTTTTAAGAAATACCAATTGCTGTGTATCTTACCGATCTGATTTATGATTTTTCAAGGTAATCATCTTTATAACAGAAATGTCAGCCTTGCTCTCAGAGGTTTTTAAAGGTATTTTTGTTGTCGATTAACCCTAGTCACATGGTACAAGAACTTAGTAATAGCTGGAAAATTTGGATTCAGAAACTTTGTTTTAATTATAACAGGAGGGTATAACTTGTGAATATAAACATGACTCTCCTAATACACAAAGTACGAACTAAGTATTAAGGTATGGGATGTGACTTTTATCATTTGGGATTCCATTGGTAGCGTGGGTAGTGAGCGACACCAAAGATCTGTGCGTGTTCACACATGGGCTCCTGAGGCTGTACTAAACAATCACATGGGATTCTGCTGCAAACTCATTTCTGGTGTTGCTGTTCTCCCCTTAGGTGGAGGAGAATGAGATTGAATGCTGACTGTAGGCCTGGCTGAGAAACATACTGTCATCGGTGCCTTAGTTGGCTGTTGTGTCCCTGAAAGCCAGTGGCCTTTGACCCATGAAGCCACTGTGCCTGAAGGTCAGTTCACTGGTAGTACAGGAAGGAATTCTAACTCGACATTGAAATCCCTCACTTAACCTTTTTTTCGTTTGTTTGTTTGTTTACAGCAAGAAATCAAGGACACAGATGCAAGGCTCTGCCTGCAGCTGTGGAAGTACCAAGGCATAGTTTTCAAAGATGATCTCAGTCTGATAAAGCCCAGTCATACATCTTGAATCACATTTGCCAGTTTAAATCCTGTCTTACAAGAATCTGGCATTCATTTTTAATCTGTGCAAATACATGCTTAGGTTTGTGATTCTTAAAAACACGGATCTTGGTTTCCATCATCTGCTGTTGACATAGGTCTTTTTTTTTAAGCCTAAATTAATATGCCAGTTGACCTTTACACGAATTGGTTACATGCCTACTAGTCAAACTGTTACATTTGCTGCGCCGAGTTACTGTTGACTCTGCTGTTCCCAGAGTATGGCAATAAGGGCTTCATGAAAATTCAAGTATTCTGTCTCCTTCTGTGCAGATATATTCAATAGTCTTTGACAAAATGACCTGGTTTAGTTTTGTCTGTGCTCTGAGCTGGCCAAATGTATGGCAAAAAACAGGGTAGCTATATTAAGTGTCGCGTCTGAGTTAATAAACCCAGACGACTATCGGGTTACATGAGTATCATGTGGGATACAGTTAATGGTACAGTGGGATATATGTTAATATTAAATTAACATGCTATCTGCTTTATAATTGTTGCCTTACACTTAGACAGCTCAGAGCATATTTCCTAATAATGTGTTTTTAAATTTCAATGCTGAACGGTGGCATTCGCAGGACTCTTCTTAACAGATCTACTGGTTCTATTGATGACAAGTCTGTTACCTACTACCTTGGGGTTAAAGGGACTAAAACCAGTAATATTTTATCTTGGCCACTGATAAGTTGAGAGTTTCTGACTGAGGACACAGAGATCTTTGCCTAGAAAAACTGGAAGAGTGGCTATTTTTGCATTGTCAGTGTCAGCTAATGGTAATTGTATCTTTGTTCTTTCTTTATCTTAAAGGAGCTTTATTGCAGAAATGAACATTTATGTGAAGCAGCTGGGCAGAAGTAAGTGCTCCTATTTATTTTTTTACCTTAGCAAGAGGTGAGTGTTGGTATAGAGGAATAGACCATACTTGTGGGTACAGACTTTTGTCATTATGTGTTAAAGCCACTTCCAGAGGTGAAGGTTCGTGTTTGTTTCCTGACGTGAAATCTTTTTTCTGTGTGCTGTGCTTGTTGTGTTCTACTGCTTGTCCATTACATACTTCCACTAATCTTTTTTCTCAGCCAAAAGAAATGCTTGTGAGATACAGTAGGTTTTGTTTGTCTTAGTTACTTGTTCTTCACCTACCTGAGAAATGCAGGTGTCTAATATGTTCCCAGGCAATGAGCCTGCTGCCGACACTGTACCTGTTTATGTAGAGCTTGCTTTGAAATTTGTATGATATTGCTGGGTGGTACAGGATAATTATACTTTCTTAGACACTGAATGCAGAAAAAACTTAACAGGAGTTCCCCAGGAAGTCAGTAAGTAACATTACACAGCTAATGTGTCAGCTGATGAAGGGATCTGGTTGGATTTTATGTTGGATCTGTGGATTTATCAAGATTTGAGACACTTTCTATGAAATCTCGCCTGTGTGAACAAACACAAAGCCCATTTCAGAGTAGTATCTTCGGTGGAAGCTGTTTGACTTGTTAGCTACTACAGCTCTGAACTTTGTGTGCTGCAGGGATTTTCAGTCGTGAGCATGGATCGAACAAAAAGCTGGCAGCACAGTCCTGTGCCCTTTCCTTGGTTAGACAGCTCTACCATCTTGGTGTCATAGAACCATATTCTGGACAGACAAAGAAAAAAGGAGAATCGGTGAGTTTGGTAGAAGGGTCAGAAATTGTTGCTTTCATTTTAATAACACAAGTACTCTCTTATAAAGATGAGTGAATTAAAGTTTGGTTTAAGTGTTTAACAGCTTACGAGTTAATAATAATTTTGATTATGTAGACCTGCAACTGTTTCTGGTCTGGCCAGTGATTTGGATGAGAAATATAACTTTGTATGTATGTGAATGGAGAAGTAAACTAATTTACAGTGTATTAAATGAAATAGAATTTGTCACAAATGCTTCTTCCAGCATAAATTTTCTAGAAGCTTAAAGTCTTCTGTTTATGCTACATACAATTCTTGGCTATTTGGTCTCATTCTCTGGCATGTTAACATCTTTTTGGTATCAGTTACAATTTTGGGAATGTTTTCCTCTGAAATTAAACTCAGATATTTAAAAATATTCTGCAGATTCTTCTTGGATGCAAAGTTGGCAAAGTGTTTCAAAAATACAAATTTTGAACTGATGGTACTCTTTGACCTTATCTCACAAGGAACTATTTTTGATGGTTCAGTGTACTCGCTGGTAGCCTGCAGTTCTGGCTTCCATTGTTTGTCTTTTTGTGTATACCAACATGTAGTTTTTAAACATTTAATAGGTGGAGCCCTTTGAGGTGTCACTGCCTTCTGACTTAGAGAATCAGCTGCAAAACGTTGTACGGGAACTGTCTCTGGAGATTGTGCCTTTGGTGAGTGTGTGGTTCAGATATTCCAGTATTTAACATCAGGCCTGCTTGTTTAATACGTTTCTCTTTCTTTGCCTACTTTTCTTTTGGATTTACAGCCTGAAGATCCCAGTAATCCAGTTGTGATTAATGTTGGAAAGTTGGCCCATTTTGAACCATCGCAGAGACAAAGTCATATGGGAGTTGTTCCATGGTCGCCACCTCATTCCAACTGGAACCCTTGGACCAGCTGCAATATTGATGAGGGTCCTCTGGCAAATGTAAGATAGCTTAAAAAATTGATGTATTGTTTTTTTTCTCCATGCTTCTGGAACTTTTAAATGCTTTTCTCCCCCAGGATTTACAGTATGAGCTATTCCAAAGGAGGAAACAGTCCACTGATAAAATTTCTTCCTTTTTTGACCTGGAGGAAGGGAGTCTTTTCATTGGTAGGAGTCCTTTGTATTTACTTAATGTTTTATTAGGTTCTTGAGCAGCAGTGTCTTGGATGTCCCAATTCTTTGCTTTGTTTCACTTTTTGCCTGCTATTGTGCAGCCCATACAAAGTTCTAATTGAAATTACAAGGTAAGCATATGGGCATGTCCTTTACAATTCGCTAGCCTCTCTTTCCCATATTGCCACGCTAGGACTTTATTTTCTGGGAGGAGAAACTGCTCCAAGCTGGTGTCACTTCACAATCAACCTGTTTGCTTTTTTTGTCATTTCTAGTCCCATTCAACACAGAACAAATGAAAAGTAGCAATGTGTCATGATAAAATGAGGAAGAAAGAAAGAAATACTGGGTTGCCAAGTTCAGAGGCATAATTTGGGTACTGGTATAACCTGGTCAGAAAAGACTCTCAGGGTCAGTTTCCTACAACAGGGAACCAGAGTACTTAAGACCAAAATAATAACTTAATGCTTTTTTGACTTCATTTTTTTCCATAAATGACATTAATTTAATATTGTTCATTATATATTGATTTTAAAAATATAGAACAGATGCAAATTTGAGTGTTGCTAACTTAAAGCACATAATCAGTATATTTACAGACATTGCAAATTGAGCTGGCTTTAAATCTCATGATGATTTCAATGTACTAGTCATGGTGCAGCTAGCTTATTTTCAGTAAAACTAATTAGCCCTTTGGTAACAAATTTGAGTTTCTTTAAAATTCTTCCTTAGTTGTAACACAAGAGTTGCCTGATGAATTTCCCTCTCTGTTCACTTTACCCTTTTCAGCTACTGTTCTGTGGGTGATAATGTGCCTACATTATGTTATTCCATACATTTAAAAACTCCTGTCTGAATGAGAAAGTATCTCATTGGCTTACTACTGAATACAGTGTGTTTCTCAAGCAGTTCAAGTATTTAAATTTTAAAAAATCATTCTTTTTTTAGTATTCTGGATCTTTCTGAGAAACTTTGAGGCTGACCATTTAATTTTAACTTACTGGAATGAATGAAATAAAATAGCTTATAGGCATAACTGATGTCAGGGGGTTATGTAGGAAATGATCCTTTACTGATACTTGGAATCATTATGTTGGTGTGTGTCATTTTGTATTGAAGTTATGATATAGGTAAGCACAGGGATCAAAAAGCCTCCAAACAATGTCTTGTGTTTATAGCTCACTCCAGAGCAAATAAGCATGGATTTGAAAAGTGATTTCATGTACCGTTTGGAGCAGGATCAAGAATTGCAAAGGGTAAGTGTGCTTCCTGTAACATAGTGTGCTTGTGCTACTCTTTTTATTTTCCAAAAGAGGTTGAACGTATCATATACAAAGTGTGTAAGACTGGCTTTCAGTAGTAATATGCACCAAATTTTCAGAAGTGCTGGATGTTGCACTGGGCTGGATGTGGGGATGTGTTGCACTGTGTAAAGGAAAAGATACAAACTATTATTTGTTCTTACACAGTTTTTCCTTTGTGTAAGTGAAACGTCTGTAAAAGAGTGAGACAAAGTAGGCACATGGAGCAGATTAGGTTTATTTTTTGATGTTTTTGGAAATGTGCTGGATTTTTTTCCAGATCCAACAAGAGAGAGAGGCCTTACCTGTGAAGAATTTTGAAAGTGAAATTCTGGATGCAATCCGTCACAATTCTGTTGTTGTAATTCGTGGTGCCACTGGTTGTGGCAAAACCACGCAAGTTCCACAGTATATCCTAGATGAATACATCAAAACTGACAGAGCTGCGGAGTGCAACATAGTAGTGACACAGGTGAGGAATGTGTTGCAAATGCAACTGCGTAAGTTTTGTGATCAGATGCTAGAAATCGCCTATTAGGATGTGCTGAGAAATCTGATTATCATTATAGGACAACATTCATAAAAATATCTCCTCAGTACTACATGTAGGAGAAACCCCAGCATCATATATATTTTCATTTGGAGTGTTACTCTTTCATGTATCTACAGTTTGGGTAATCTGGCTTGTAGCTTGCCCAGATGAAAACTTTTTGGCAGACCAAGGGGAACTGGTTTGGCAAATGCCAGGTGGTAATTCCCATATTATCCTTGTATCCCTCCTCTGTAATTTTATGTGCAGAATTAACCATTTCAGAAGAAAAAAAGCCTGCTGTTACAGATATTACTGTTTAATGACTACTCTGTAATGAAATCTTAGGACAGGACAGCTGTAGCTTTTATATTTTACCTACTTGTTTTTGGGGGTGTTCTGATAAACTTAATCATTAAGGTAGAAAAAAATTTTTCATCCCTCAGCCTCGGAGGATTAGTGCAGTTTCTGTCGCAGAGCGTGTGTCGTATGAGAGAGGAGAACAACCTGGGCAAAGCTGTGGATACAGTGTGCGATTTGAATCCGTGCTTCCTCGGCCGCATGCCAGTGTGATGTTCTGCACTGTAGGTCTGTATTGTTTTGTTTATGTTTGGAGCTTGTTAATTATGGGTCTGAATTCTTTGAGTTAGCAGCAAAAGCAGAAACACGGTTTCATTAAATTTTTTAGAAAATCTGTTTTAAAGATTAACTTTTTTTTGGTAGAGTAAGTTTGCTGACATACTGTTGTGCAGAGAAAGATTTAAGATTGTTGTTCAGAAGTATGATAATACAGGTCTAATACCACATGGAAATAATATCCTGAAGAGATAAAATTGCCATATATTGATTGTCCTTAGAAGACAGAAGGGCAAGCAGTATTTGGTGGGAAAGAAGAAAGAGTCTTTCTAGTAGTAATACTTTATTCTCTCCCCATCACTTGTACAAATGAAAGCATGGGAATTAGAGATGGGGCTGTAAAAGGTGCTGGGCAGCCTGCACACTTCTTGATTTTTTAAACCAGTGCAACTGTTCTTGATGAAATGAGACAGGGTGGGGGAAAGGCTGAGCTGTTGCCTCCATGAACATTTAACTACTATGTCTGTTTAAGGTGTTCTTCTGAGAAAGGTGGAGGCTGGGATCCGTGGCATTAGTCATGTTATTGTTGATGAGATCCATGAGAGAGACATTAATGTAAGTTAGCTGGTGATTACAATCCTGTTTCTCTCTGTGCTTCTGTTTAACTTTTATATATGTTCTTGTGTAATAGTAAACATATGAAAGGAAACTGCATTTAATGATTTCCATATATGTGAGTTTTCCATCTTTGATAAGGTTTTTAGAAATTCTTCTCTTAATTACTCCTTACCTGATTAAAAGACCAAGGACTTGTGCTTACTTGCTGCCCTATCTCTTTTGCCTGTTGGGATCTCCTTCTATGTCCTGGTCCTCTCTGGAAAATAGAACAGCATGGTACAAGCACTACTTGTCCAAATGTTGGGAGCATGCTGAATGAGAGAGAGAGAAATTCTGACATGCTCTTTAAGCTTGTTTTACAGAATCTGGGGACTCATTTAGATGAAATTGCAATGCAGATTTTTCTGATTTCTTCATCTACTAAGTTTGTATTAATGAAGTAAAATGCAGGTTTTCAAATTTTGAATGGGACTGGAATTTTATCTGTTGAACTAAGGGCCAGCCTGACTACATGGCAAAACTAAATAAATGTCATGTTTAAATAGAACTATAAAACTTCACATACAATTGCAGTGACTCATTCCTCTTTATTTTATGAATTATGGCTACTTTATATGTAAATCAAGTTTAAAAGGCCTTAGGTTGTAATGTGTTGTTAGGATTTTTGAATGCTTTGTTTCATTCTGATAAAACAATAACTCTTCTTTACACTGGAAATCCCAAGATTCGCTTACCCCAGGAATTGCAGTATTTGCAAAATAAAGTACTGACAACTGTTTCTCGTTATAGAATACTGTTGTTGTAATTGTTACTTCTCTTGCCCAGCAAAGCTCCTGTTCAATAAATGCATATATCTGTGTAATTCTTTCTGGTCTCTTGGGAAGATGCTGCTTCTTATGGGTAGGAAATTAATGATGTTTTTATTCTCTTTGTATGCAGACTGACTTTCTCTTGGTGGTGCTGAGAGATGTAGTTCAGGCATATCCTGAAATCAGGGTTATCCTCATGTCTGCCACAATCGATACTAGTATGTTTTGTGAATACTTTTTCAACTGTCCTGTCGTTGAAGTCTTTGGTAGAACCTACCCTGTCCAAGGTAAATTGTTGATTGAACTTTCAGGAACTGCTTTAGCTTTTATTTTATGGGTACTGCAGGATACACATTTCTTTTGGATTGTCGTGTCTTACAGATGTGGCTTACCCTGGGCAAAGAAGTCAGTATCACTGGATTATTTCATAGCACTGTTTAGTTTAAAATCACAAACAAACAAACAAACAATACTACCACCCCACCCCTTTCAGAAAAAAAACCAAAACACTCCCCACCTCCCCACCCCCATCCTAAAGCACCACCACTTGGGGTAGCTGTGGTGTTTCAGATCAGTTGTCTGTGACATTAGGAACAATGGGAATAGCTTTAAATCAGTCAATATTTAAAAAAAGAAAAGAAAAAAGTAAGAAATTATGTGGAAGTATATTAAGTAGAGAAATAATCATTGGAATAGTGTGGGAATAATTCTCATACCCTAGCTGATGGCTAAGGAGTTTTCTCCAAGCTTGGCTTCATACTCTGAAATATCACGATTATATCAGGAGAATCTCGAGAGATGATAAATAGAGTTGTGTTGCTTTATACAGGCTTCTAGTGGTCAGTCTTGATAACCAATGCTTGCTTCTCCTTGCAGATTATTTTCTGGAAGATTGCATTCAAATGACTCAGTTCATTCCCCCACCAAAGGAAAAGAAGAAGAAAGAGAAGGATGAAGAAAGTGGTGAAGATGATGATGTATGTTTGACTTTCTTAATACGGAAAATTAAATAAGTGCCAGTTAAGACTAGCTCAAGTGCAATTAATTTGGCATTGTTGAGCTTAAACATTTTTAGCAGTTTTCATATTTTTAACATCCAAGATTGCTGTTAACTTCAGAAATAGAATTGAATTTTCTCATTGCCTTTGTAAACTGAAGAATTTCTTTTTTTGTTGAAGCTAAAATTCTCATGGTTTGTCAGCCTAACTAATTCTCTTTAAAGAGAGAACTGAAATGCTCTTCATGCTGAAAACGTTGGTGACCTTGGCAGAAGAAATAGATTCAGAAACATAAGCTTGGTGATCCCTTTTCAGGGTGAAAATTCAGATTCTTTTCTTTCTTTCTCTTGCATTTGATATTGTTAGAGGTTACATGCATTGTCAAGAAACTATCACTTTCATGATAAAGCTTTTGATTTGTAGGTCTGAAACTATTGTTTAGATCAGCTATTTGAAATTTTAACAAATTATTTGTTTTTCTTGAGAGAAGCTTTTTCTTCTGCTTCTTATGATGTTATCCTCATTCAACTGAACAGCAGTTAAACTGGCTTGATAGCTTCCTGCTGCAAATTTGTAGTGAGCTATAACTCAATGCAATGGAATTATGATTCCATTCTTGTATTAGAAAGCTGGGGAAGCAGGACTTGAACTGCTTATTGTGAGCTGTGCCTGAGACAGTTTTCCCTGTCCATGTACCTGGTTTTCCTATTTGCCTGGCCAGCCAGTCTCCACAGGTTGAGTAAGTTAATTTATATGATTTCTTTTGTGGTTTGGTTTTTTTATTGGTTTTTTTTTTGTGTGTGTGTGTTGTTTTGGTTTGGTTTTTTGTAGGCCAATTGCAACCTTATTTGCAGTGATGAATATGGCCCAGAAACAAAGCACTCCATGGCTCAGCTGAATGAGAAAGAAACTCCTTTTGAACTCATTGAGGCCCTGCTAATTTATATCAAGACCCTGAATGTCCCGGGAGCTGTACTTGTTTTCTTGCCTGGCTGGAACTTGATATATACAATGCAGAAGCATCTAGAAATGAATCCACGCTTTGGTACAAGCAACTGTATTCTATTATGTTTCATCTCCTTTTCCAAAGAAAGCTACTGACCATGTAAAGATGAGAGTTAGTTGAGTGGGAGCGGGATTGATTTGTCATGAGAATGAATGGGTAGAAATGATTATGTTGTGCAAAGGAAAAATGAGATTTACGCAGTAGTAGTTATTGATCTTCTTGTATTCATGTTATAGGAGGCCGCCAGTATAGAATTCTACCTCTACATTCGCAAATTCCTCTGGAGGAACAACGTCGAGTGTTTGATCCTGTGCCTCCAGGAGTAACAAAAGTATGAGAGCCTTCTCTTTGTGGAGTGTAACACGATTTGTTCTGTTGTGCTTTTGTGGAATATACTGCTGACTTTTTTTAATAGGTGTTATGTAGTTTATCTTGCAGTAATCAATGTAGTTTATCTTGCAGTCCATCCTTAATTTTTTCAGACCAAATATATTTCAATATGCATTTCCTGTTTTTATAGGTTATTTTATCTACCAGCATTGCGGAGACTAGCATTACTATCAATGATGTGGTCTATGTTATAGACTCCTGCAAGTGAGTTCATGAAGTAGCTTTTTGTTTTTTAAATCCTGTTCTTTGGAATGCAAAAGAGGTTTTCTGAACACACAGAACTGCCTTGTTTTCCCATAGTCACAGAGCTGAATTTGAGGACTCTAACTCACTCAAGACAAATTTGCATTGTCTTTAGCCATTCAAAACGGTTACAAACCACACTGGCATTTCAGTGGGCTGGTTTTGGTCAGCTGCATTCATGCTGGCACTATTCATGTGAGGTGTCACTGGGTCTCCATGCGTATTTGAAATATGTTGTCTGCCAAATGAATATTACAGACAGACAGTGTGTAACTGATAGAAAAGAGGAAGATTTTTGTAGTCTGTTACGGATCCTGTCTTGCTATGCATGCTCTCTGAGCACATAGGGATTTAATTATTGCATGAGAATTTTAAGCTTTTGAGACAGTTGCAAAAACTTAATTCTGCATATAGCTCGTAGCAGCGCTTGATAAAGAGTATGATGCTTGCCTTCCAGATAGATGGCTAACCAGCCAAAGCTTAGCTAGTCAAACAGGAGTGGTTTGCTTCTTAAAAGCAGTGTGGCTGCAATGAATAAAGCAAGAACTGATTTGGCAGGACTTAAGATGAAGAACATCTGATCTTACGGGTGTGGGTTTTTTTTTTCTGTAACAGACAAAAAGTGAAGCTGTTCACTGCTCATAATAACATGACAAACTATGCCACAGTCTGGGCATCAAAAACTAATTTGGAGCAGCGGAAAGGAAGAGCTGGACGTGTGCGTGCTGGATTTTGTTTCCATTTGTGCAGTAGAGCTCGCTTTGAAAGGTGAGGATCTGCTCTTTAGAAATAAAATAACCTCAGAGACTTTTCCCAGAACTGTTGTATGCTACTTCTGATCAAACTAGGGAAATAAATTCAGGAAGCACAGAGAGGAGATGCATGTAGTCAGGTCACACTGGAATTCTTGGATATCTCAGTTCTTTTGTTTAAAAAAAATTACATGTTTATATGCTTTTACCCATACTAGGAGGTGGACAAATAGTTCGTGATTTTATTATTAAGAACTTCACTGCAACCTACAGAACCTCACAGGAGAAAAATAATACTGCTTTGGAATTGAGTCAAGGCAGAAACAAGCTTTGTAATGAGGATAAGGCTCTAGTCTTCAAACCTGGCATCTTCACATAACAGGCAATTTTGTCATGAAAGTGGTAAAAAGCAGGGAAGACAGATGTTACTTTTCCCTCCATCCCCCTTCTGTGGCCAGGAAGGCCCTTCATGCTGCTGAACTGCTGCTCTATCACCTTCCCTGCTGCTGAAACTTTTGACCTCTTCTATGTGCCAAGCTGTTTCTCAGTTACCAGAGCTATGGAAATCTTTTTGCTGGTTGCAGAAGTCTACACAGCTGTTACAGTCAGTGTTTGATCTCTCTCATGAAAGTTTCAGTGCCTCTTTCTCACATATTAGTTAGAGCATAGCTGTGTTTGCTGTTCAGCTTTTTGTAACCTCTGAAAGCATGAGTTGATCAAAAACTTTCCTTAAATTGCTCAAATTTATTTAGATCTGCTGTCTAGTACAGTGGAGTGATTTTAATTAAGATTTTTTGATAGGGAGCTGATTTTAGGCTACTGAAGTAATCATGGGACTTCATGACTTTAAGGTTACTTTTCTTCAAGGAATATAAAACCAAAATATACTTGCTCCATGGTGCCTAGGAAGGGAAGAGTGTTTGTGGCCTTGTGCAGAGACTCTTGAGAGATACCATCTAAATCTGGTGCCAGCTGAATCTGAATATCTGTTCAAGGTGTTTTGAAACCTTTTCTAGCTGCTCAGTGCAGTGAACTCCTAGGAGTTCATATTTCAACCAGCAACCTAAAGGATCACTAATGATACTATGCTAAAGACTTAAGAGCTCTACCTATTTTCTTCAGGTCTTTTTCCTACCAGAAAAACACCTTTGGAAAGCATCCAGCAAAACCACTTACTCTTCTTAGTGGTCAAAGCAGAAATGTGCAGGAAGAGTTGGGTGGTTTGGAGTTGATAGAAGGACAAATAGAGAAGTGCTTGTACATAAGGCAGGCTGAAAGCAGGTTGTCGGTCTCAGGAATGGAAGACCTTCCTTAGCGATGTTGGAGATGATTGTAAGGGGGCAAGTGTGGGGCTGGACACAGCCGTGCTACAAATCGGGCTTCAGCCATGCAGACTCTATATGTGGTAAGCTCATGCTAGAAACCACACCAGGTAGTGGTGATATGATGGCTATACTCTCTGTGCATTTCCATTGTAAATTTATCCTGAGATGAGAATTGAGAAGCATGGAAGATAAATACTGGTAGAAGATCCTAAGTTACAGGAGCATAATGACAGTTGATGGGTTGGTTGGAAGGCAGTATTTGCTTTGGAGGGCAGTAGCTTATGCTGATGGAATGACCCATGATGGCGATCAAAGCCTGTGTTCAGAAAAACGTGGGCTTTTTTGTTCTCTTCTCATTCCAGACTTCAAACTCATATGACACCTGAAATGTTTCGAACACCACTTCATGAAATTGCTTTGAGCATCAAATTACTGCGGCTGGGAGGAATCGGTCAATTTTTGGCCAAAGCAATAGAACCACCACCTTTGGATGCAGTGATTGAAGCAGAACGCACACTAAGAGGTATTGGTGTTTGTCCACAAGATTGTATGTTAACGAAGCTGACTCCAAGTGATTTCCCATGTATAATGATCACTTACAAACTGCTTTAACAACTCTGATTAGATCGTGTAGTAGCATGCTGTCTGAAACAACACAGTATTTCCTGGATGCATCGTGTGGGTGGCAGCGTCTTTTGCAGCTGAAGAAATACTTGAATTCCCAAGTAGAGTGTCATTCCTTTAAGAAACTTGAGCCTGCAAACTTAAGGCTTGTTTTTCTTTTTTACCAGTAACATGCTAGCTTCCAGCTTCCTGTTTTCCAGCTGTGGCACTGCTGTGTATGACATAGACTCAGTCCGGTGCCTAAGGCATTTATAAAACTAGTATAAAAGTACTGAAAAAGAGAGGTTAGTAGTCTATTGTATAATTATCACTTTGTACGGTTTGCTGACCCAAGATATCAGTATTTTGTCAAGTAATTAATTCTCCACTTTATGAATATGCAAGCATCAGTATACTTCTAAAATGGGAGAAACTGAGGTGGGGGTTAAGCTGTCTCCCCAGTTTCTTTAAGGAACTAACTAGAATATGAGTAAAACGAAGCAGAGAAGAACCCTAAATTTATGCTTTAGATTTAAAGCAGTCATCTCAAACCTCAGCATGCTTTGCAAGTAAATAAGCGCTTCTTAAAATTTCTAAGAACTGAAATATCTATTTGATTGTTTATTTTTTGAAAAAAATTGTGTGACGAGCTTACATTGCTTGTATACAGAAGGGAGACCAGAATGAAAAACATAGCTAAGGATATGCCTTCAAGTTTAATGACTTCCTGATCTAAAAATTGTTAGTGCTTTTCTTATGCTGCAGATACGAAATGCAACGCCGGGGAAAAGGCAAATGTTTTCAGCTTTAGCACCACATAGATGTTTCTTCATGTGCTTCTGTTTCCTGGATGACCTGTGATTTTTCAGTGCGTGTATACTCCTAGTATTTTTTTTAGGATGGTGAGACATGCAATTCTTCAAAATATTCTTTAGGCTTTTAAGCTCAATAGATACCAAGAAAAATGGATTTGGTAGTAGCTAAGGAGTCTTTTATATGTTTGCTTTCCCATTTCGTTGCTGAGGCTACAAAGCTTTTTTTTTTTTAAACGTAAAGCTTTTAGTTATGCTGAAGTTTCACAAAGTAGTCTGTAAATGGGGTACATGAACTATAAGTTTGCATTTTTCATTTATATCTTAAAAGAGTTTTTGAAGATCACACTTGTGTTGTTTTTCTTTGCCATGCAGACTTAAAAATTTGAGTTTTATGAAGTAGAGATTAATGGTTATGGGCAAATGGCTAAGAAGATAAGGAGACTCAGGAGAGCCTTCAGTCTGTACAGCAAACAGCCACAGACAGCTGTTTGACTTTATTATTGGCAGTGGTTTGGTAGCTTCCAGGATGAGCTCAGGTGACAATTTTTAGGTAATGGAAGGAGAAGGGCAGACAAAGCCTTGTGGAGGAGAAAGTGTGTGCTGGTTTGTTTTTGATGAACAGAAGGTTGTGTGATTTGGCAATTGCAATGAAGACTACAGTTGGCTGTGATAGGGCTGCTTTGATTTTCATAAGGCAGAAACTGGGTTAGATTAATTAGATCAAATATAGGGACTTGAAAAAAGTTTAATAGTGTAGTAGTGGTTTGTACAGAAGCAAACTAAAAATAAATGGATAAATATGTGTAATTAAATAGTAATTATTTTAATTGTGGAGGAGGTAGTAAAACATCTGTAAAGCTAAAGTAAAATTTGTTTATTTGACCTCAGATCAGTTTTGAAAATCAGGTTGGCAATATTGTAAACAACGTTAAATTCAAATATAGATAGGGTTCAATTTAAACACAATTATTAAAATTCTGAATTTCGTATGTAATTTCTTAGCTAACCGTCTTTGATAATACGAGATCTTGTTTCAGAGCTTGATGCCCTGGATTCCAATGATGAGTTGACACCTCTTGGAAGAATCCTAGCCAAACTTCCCATTGAACCTCGTCTTGGCAAGATGATGATAATGGGCTGTATTTTTTAGTAAGTTCAGTAGTCTCAGTGGTCTTTTTCTTGTTTCCCTGAGTTCCTGAGCCTCTAGACATGCACTGTACAAGAGAAAAAACAATACATCTAGATAAGGGGCTACAACTGGGGATAGGAATCATTGAACATAGGAAGTTCCTTGAACTTAGGAAGTTCCATCTTAACATGAGAAGGAACTTCTTTACTTTGAGGGTAGTGGAGCACTGGCACAGGCTGCCCCGAGAGGGGGGGGAGTCTCCCACTCTGGAGACATTCAAAACCCGCCTGGACGCTGTCCTGTGCAACGTGCTGTAGGTGACCCTGCTCTAGCAGGGGGGTTGGACTAGATGATCTCCAGAGGTCCCTTCCAACCCTGACCATTCTGTGATTCTGTGATTCTGTGAATCTGCATATTCATGAGACCAGAGGGGAATAAAGTGGTCATGAAATTCAGAGTTAACTGCAAAGGACCAGTAGAGGCTGAATACTTAGGAATTAAGAGTGGGACTCTAAATACTTAAGTATAGCAGTGAGCTAGAGGTGGGGAGATGTGAAATTTGACACCTAGATAAGAAGAAAAGCAAATCCACACGTTTTGCTTTAGCAGCAGTAAAGACTTGTTATTTGTGAGGGTTGTAGAGTCCTTTTCACTACAAGAAGATGGTGTATGGATGGGGGGAAGAGGAGGGAAGATAGACAGAGGGCTTGTGAACATTTGCTGTTGTGAAAGTACTGGAATTGGAGCTAATTTAACATCCACTTCCGGGGAAGTGTTTCTCTGAAGAACTCTGGTAGATAAGGGCCAAATTACTAAGGTCTCTAGCAGAGAAGTTTTTACTAGTCTCAACAGCCTACAACAACTGCTGGCAGCAATACTGTGAATAAACCTGATCCTGATACCTTTTGTGGTTTCTTTCAGTGTGGGAGATGCTATTTGTACCATCTCTGCCGCCACCTGTTTCCCCGAACCTTTCATCAGTGAAGGCAAACGCCTGGGTTATGTCCATAGGAATTTTGCTGGGACCAGGTTTTCAGATCATGTTGCTTTGCTCTCTGTCTTCCAAGCCTGGGATGATGCAAGGTATATTGTCTTGGCACAAAATTTGATGAGAAGTTATGGGTAACACAGAGTGAGCAGTTTTGTGACCAGACTAAATACGTCAATGGATGCTATGACAGCTAGCACTTTTCCTTTTCTTGAACAGACTTCTAACTCACTCTGTTTGTTTTTTAGAATGGGTGGTGAAGAAGCAGAAAAAAGATTTTGTGAACACAAAAGACTCAGCATGGCTACTCTTAGAATGACTTGGGAAGCAAAAGTCCAGCTGAAAGATATACTTATTAATTCTGGCTTCCCTGAAGGTGATTCTACTTCGACATAGTAATTTAATGATTGCATTTTTCATTCTGAGATGAGAAATAAATAAACAAGATAATCTATGATGAGCACACAAGCACAGAGGCCAATAGTGGATTTGCCATAAAGCTGTTCTGCTTTTACAGCTGCGTTCAGATGAAATTTTAGTGCTGTCTCATTCTTTCATAGTTGTGTAAACCAGAGAAGTTGTGATGGCTGTGGTGCAACATAGGGAGCATTTGGAGGCTGAGATTAGGGCTGCAGGATTAAAAATCTATTAAGCAATTGTCCTCAGAGAATTACCTTCCTGATTCTCTTTCTCCTTTGCTTGTTGCTTCTCCAAAATGTGCTGTGCTTCCCCCCTCCTTTTCATTAGCCTTAGGGGGGAGTCTGTGTGATCTAAACAGTGTGCTATGTGCCCTATGATTTTCTGGGTTTGTGCTGCAGGAGGGATGTGCAGTAGTGTGGTGTGTAATTCAATTTTCTAAGGAAAAATAAAAATTCTTAAAGTTGACCGGGTTCGGAATTTGCCTAATGCTCCTAAGGAGCTTGCTCAGTTAAATGGCATGGCTGTCTGGATTCAGCAGATGTTCATCTCCCCCTCCTTTTTTTTTTTTTTTTTTTTTTTTTTTTTTTTTTTTTTTAATTCCTTTAATTTTTTTCTCCTCATGCTGCTAGGATCATTGCTGCGTTTATCCTTAACTTTATTTCTGGGCAAGATGACCTGAAAACAAGCCACCACAGACTCTGGGGAGGTTTGTAACAAATAAACTAATGAAAACATCCATTCTGACCTCCCCCAAAAAGATCTGTCTCCAAAACAAATGACAGGAAACACACTGTGGTACAGCACATTCTGGGCAAACCCCTCTCTCCTTGTTTTTGAAGAGCTTGGGAGAGAAAAATATCTCTTTGTAGTAGTATTTTTCAGCTTTTTGCTCTCCATGAATAAATTCAAAATGTAGAACTGAAATGCTTTGAGCACAGAGGTCATTTGAGAACAGATGTACATCTACCAGTTGATTGAATCAGAAAATGCATTGATCCAGGATCCTAAACAACTCTGCTGTGCTGTCCTACATGACCTATGGATGCGAGCCAGTCTTCTGTTCTCTGTCAACAGAATGTTTGATGACTCAACCATTTAACAACACTGGACCAGATAATAATCTGGATGTTGTAATCTCCCTGCTTGCTTTTGGGGTCTACCCCAACGTCTGCTACCACAAGGAGAAGAGGAAAATTCTTACCACTGAGGGGCACAATGCGCTCATCCACAAGTCATCTGTCAACTGCCCTTTCAGCAGCCAGGACATCAAGTATCCGTCGCCTTTTTTCGTTTTTGGAGAAAAGGTAAAGACTTTGAATTTGTTCTTGATCACTTGCTGACGAGTTGTCTAAGAGGCTCTTTTTGGTAAAGAAGCCATAAGAAAAAATATATACTGCGTAGTGTTTAGCTTGTTTGGGTTTTTTTTTGTTTTGGTTTGTTTGTTTTTTTCCAGAAAGTGAACCTTATGTGGTCATGGTGTCACTCAGCCTTTACAGTAACTTTCAATCAACCAATTTCAGTCGAAGTAGAGGTCTTAGCTGCACAGACAGTTCCTGTGAGTTTTGTGAAAACATCCAGGTAGAGAAAGATCTAAATTATTATCTTCTTTAAGAGGTTGCTCTAGGAGCTCTTTCATATTAACTAGGCACTAGAGAATTTCTGCCCTTATCACTTCTGCTACTTATGAATCCAGAGAGAAAATAGGAGCATGTAATATGGCAGCAGGGTGCTCCCTTTCTGGCATGTAGGTAGTTTGTCATCTCCCGAAGACAACTCCCATTTTCCAAGCATCTCAGAAAACTCCTAGATGCCTTCCCCAGGGTGCCCCTGACCTTTTCCTCCATCCCATTAGTTTTGTGTACTCAGCACATATTGTACATGTACACTTAAACCCCTGTGTGCTCTCATGTGATTTGGTGATGGCCACGATGAATGCAACTGCTTCTGCTCTCAAGAAGCAAATTGGGGTAGGACGTAGCCGGGAGACGGTCCTTGTGCTGTCTGTGCACAGTTACTCCAGCACAGCGAAAGGGACACCCTGATGCACTCTGTCGCCTGATGTTGAAACCAGCTGTGCACAACACCAGAGTTCCTTCTGCCTGGGAAGTGCTGTAAAGATGTTTTTGAGAATAAGCATCAAATTAGCAAGGCCTCTTGCTGTAAGGAGACCTTCTTAAGATCTTGTAGCTGAGGTGGTGCTGTAGGGGTTTCTTTTTTGTCACATTGTCTACACTGTTCAGAATTACAGTTTATGCTGATTTTTATATCCTCAGTCCTCTTTGCTGACATGCAATGTTTCAGTAAGGGCAAATAATCCACTTCATTGTTAATAAATAGAATTTTGACTCCTTTGGGCACTGGCTGGGGGCTTGGCTTGATACCTGGGATTTCCACGTACATAGTTCAGCGCTGTGGTGAGACTTTGCCTCCTCTTCACCCTTTATAACAGGATCCCAAGTGGGCCAGAGCTTTGATCTGCCTCAACTACCTCTGTAAAGTGAGCTCCCCTAAAAAGGCCAAAAGACTTTGAACTCAAAAACCAATGCTTTATTAAATCAAAATGCATACAGGAAACTAAGAGTGACTAAGATGGTGGCTATAGAGTGGCTAAGACAGTGACTGGGTGAGACTGGGGTGAAGGAAGGATTTATATGCAGCTCTCCCTACCCATTATGTGTGTGCTAAAAGAAAGTTTCTCTCTGAGGTCTGGTTGCCTGTTTCCTGCTGCACTTGGCAATCTGTCTTTGACCTGCAAGTTCAACACTCCTTATCGTGGCCATTTCTCTGCCACAATTTCCAGCTTCTGACAGCTTTTGTCTTTTGAGTATGTGTCATATCATCCAAGCAGAAGCAAATCTTCTCCCTGAGGACAAGCAAGTACAACAAATTCTGCACATCACACTCTCATCCTGCTCTTGAGCGAAAGAAAGGAGGGAGAGAGGCAGCTGTCAGGGTGGGAAGCTGAAATCTTAAGTGCCGCTCTTCAGTCCCTCTTTAAAATGAAGGGCAGTAGCCCATGTAGTCAGTGCTGTTATCTCTGGCTCAGGTCAGATGGCTTCTTGTTGTCCAAGTGCTCACTTAAAGTACAAGCTTAAGGTCTTGTTTCTATAAAATGACAAAGCTGGCTGATTGCACGGACATGTAGCAACTTCCAGATTTGCATGTGTAGGACCCTACTAAAGAAGCAACATGAGCTTTCCATGGCAGCCCCAGCGATGCAAAAGGTGGGAAGATAATTCAGCGATGCCTTTGTCATTTTTGGGTTGACAAAGCATGAGGTGGCTCTTGCACAGTGTCGGCTACATAATTGTAGACATGCAGTCATGGAAAAACGAATGCTTTTAAATGGCAGGTAGTTTTGGGTGTTTCTTTGCACCAGCCAGTGTTGAATCCCTGTGAGCATCTGCCCAGCGTTCAATTTTTTATGTGTCTGCTCTTTTAATTTTCTAACATTATACCTAGACTTTTTGGGGTGGTGGTGGTTTTTTTTTCTTTTACAAAATTTTCTGGTTTCAGTGCTCAGAGGAAGGTGTAGGGATCTGTTTTGTATTTCAAGAGTTGTATTCCTCTTTCACCCGCAGATTCGAACACGAGCCATCTCTGCCAAAGCGATGACCTTGGTGAGCCCGCTGCAGCTGCTTCTCTTTGCCTCCAAGAAAGTCCTGTCGGATGGGGAGCTCATTCTGGTAGATGACTGGTACGGACCTCCTTAGTGCTTATAATGTTGAGGTCTATGAAAGAACACAGATGGAGGGGGAGCAGCTGCTAAAACAGACATAAGTCTCTTTAGAATCGGAACCCTAAACCAAGCTGTGTGCTACTACAGGTTAATTGTGAGGGTGTTACCTTTGTTTCCTATGATGAAGGGAGGGTTTATATTGGCAGCACTATTTTGTGCAGATTATCTGCTTAAATTGAAAATATGATACCAGGCAATTTCCATAAAAACTGCTGGGTTTTTCCCCTTTAACTAGAATGTAATAAGAGGTACTATGTATTTTGGACCTCCTTTTCAGACAGAGGCTGGGGAAACCTCGGTTTTAAGCCTTGGACACTCAGCTTGAGGAGAGAAATAGTTGCCTCTGGCAGCATACATTTTATGGCCATGACCAAATATCATCTGGATGTCTTCCCCCCCACCTTCCCCTGTGGTCAGTAAAATGGAGATGAAGAATTGCTTAAGCTTAATTCACTAATATTTTTGAGGCTGGCCTGGAGTTTTCAAAATCTGGAGGAGCCTCATGTTTTTAGCTTATGTATTTGTATCTTTCTCTTTTGACAGTAGGGGTTATGTATTGGTGTTATCTGAGTATGTTAAATCTCCAGAGCAAATTTAAACAGAAGGATAGTTATGTTTTAACAATGTCAAATTTTAGGGATCTTTCAGGTTTGCCTCCTGAATTTCACGCCCCTTCATTGACAAATTAGAATTTCCAGGGTGAGACTATAGATTTCTGGCTTAGTGCGTGCAACGAAACTCAATGAAAATCATAGAATTGTTGAGGTTGGAAGGGACCTTTAAGATCAAGTCCAACCATTAACCTAACCTGACAAAACCACTTCTAAACCATGTCCCCAAGCACCACATCTACCCTTTTTTTAAACACCTCCAGGGATGGCGAATTCACCACTTCCCTGGGCAGCCTATTCCAATGGTTGATAACCCTTTCAGTGAAAAATTTTTTCCTAATACCCAATCTAAAGCTCACCTGGCATAACTTGAACCCCTTTCCTCTCAACCTATCACTTGTCACTAGGGAGAAGAGGTCAGCCCCCACCTCTCTACAACCTTCTGTCAGGTAGTTGTAGAGAGTGATAAGGTCTCCCCTCAGCCTCCTCTTCTCCAGGCTAAACAACCCCAGTTCCCTCAGTCGTTCCTCAAAAGACTTGTCCTTCAGACCCCTCACCAGCTTTGTTGCCCTCTATAGCCACACTATAGAACATCTTTCATAACAGGTTCTCTCCTAGAAGTTGTGATACATCCAATATGCTTTTTTGTGCTCTAGGATCAAACTGAAGATGCCCCACAATGTGGCTGCCTGCATCACTGCTCTACGTGCTGCGATGGAGGCTCTTGTTGTGGAAGTGACTAAAGATCCTGAGATCATTCGGCAGCTGGACCCAGCAAATGAGCGAATGCTGAATGTGATCCGTCAGATCTCCAGGCCGTCAGCTGCAGGCATCAGCCTCATGGCTGCCAATGCAAGGTTAGCTTCAGCTCCGTCTTGGCTTGTGTGGTCGGAGCTCGGGGGCGAGGAGCTTCGCCACCTCTGCCCTCAAGGACACCAAGAGCCTGAACAGACCAGGTCAGAGCCATCAGCTCCACTGCTCCCTCCCTGCACCGTGGCTGCAGTAGCTCAGAGCTGAAATCACCAGGAGAGTCTTGTCCCATGTGGGCAGGAGCTTCAGGCTTTCATTTCAAAGTCAGTAGTTTGAGTGTATGTAAAATTGTCATGTTCAAAGTCTGATGTAGACAGATCACAGCCTGTTTCCACAGGAAGGACAAGCTGCTCTCAAAAATAAAAGCTGTCATCGCCTCTTTCAAAACACAATGACTTAAAAAAAAATAATCAAAATTTATTTTGAGCAAACCTATTTATCTTTGTCTCTGGAAATAAATATTTGGCTGTACTTGCACCCCTGTATTTGCCCCTTGTTTTCATGTCTTGCTTCTGAAGCAAAGAAAAATGAAATCACCTGTTAGTAATTCAAGGAACAAAACAAAGAACAGCTTCAAGGTACACTTCACTGTGTTTTGTGAGGAGCAAAATAAAGACCGCTGTGCTCACATAAACAGGAACGTGGCTCCCTATGCATTTGGGTGAGCAGGGGAAGTGCGATTGAGGGGAAACTTTCTATCCTGGGTGTAGACCTGTCTGATACTTAGAGGAGGGACCGCTTACGTGGCACAGCAGGCCATTCCCAGCTTTTCTTTACTGAAGTGGAAAAGGTGCAAAAGTGCAACTGTAATTCAAACGTCATATTCTGTTAACAGAAAATAGAGGCATCTTAGCTGAGTATCTTGGCAATTGATTATTCTTGTAATATTTAAAAAAAATGTAATCCATAACATTGCAACAAGTATATAATATTTTTCTTTGGCAGGTTCGGAGATGGTCCTCGTCCCCCCAAAATGCCTCGCTACGACAATGGAGGTGGCTTCAGAGGCTGGGGAGGTTACCCGCGTGGCTCTGGCTACAGAGGTAGAGGGTACGGTGGCTACAGCTACTCCGGCAGGCGCTCAGGAGGAAGAGGATACCAAGGTAGCCCGGGGGGGGGCTACAGAGGTGGGGGAGGCTATCGAGGAGGAGGGTATCAAGGAGCAGGTGGTGGCTACAGAGGAGGCTGTGGGGATCCGGGGAGGGGCAGGTGGTAGTTAGAGAGGTTCAGTGAAGTCTTTCCACTTTGGCAAAAGCACGTTTCTCTCCCGAATCCCTTTCTTGCTGTTACCAGTCTGTTTGCCATTTCAGTTCCTTAGTACAAGTACAGCTCTGTAATATATCGTGCCGTTAGGGAATTTACTGCAAGTTGTATGATTTTATTCTTAATAAAGAGTTTGTTTTTGAAGATTTCTGTGCTATGTGTTTAATTTTTTATTTGGATTTAGATTTTGAAGCTGTCTTGTTAGTTTTGCTTGTAGGACATATAAGGCATTCTGAGGAACCCTTTTCAGTGTCTAAAACCATTCTCTGCCAAACAAATTTCAAATTACAGAACTTGGACTCAGTGGGGATTTTTCTTTGTTGTCTAATAAACTGTGCAAATAGGCCTTGGTGCAGTGGTTTTCTGTCTGTGCCAGGCAGCACTTGGTTCCTTTGCAGCCAGCCACTGGCCTACTACTGCGTGCTGTGTTACGCTTCATGGCACAGCAGCTGATGAGCTGTTTTGCTGATCCAGATAATGCAGGAACATAGAATACCTTTTTCAAGACTGATGTGATGCTGCTTGTCTCTGTAGAACCTGAAGCGACCTCAGAAGCGTGAACTATGCCCTCCATCTGAGGCAGTCTTCATTTACATTGCTAATCCAACATAGTCACGCTTCCTTCTTCCAAATACATGTGAAAGGGAGCAATTCGTTAATTAGAATTCATTGAAATTGCAGCCTGGGGATTCCAAACATTCAAAGCTCAGCTGGCTGCCTGGTGCTTGCAGCAGTACATCGACACAGAGGGGATAAAAAGCCCTCCGGCGAGGTGTGGTTTCCTCTGTACCTCTGAGACTAGCACCTGGGCAGTGACTTGGAGCAGGAGTGGATGACATGGGGTACCCGCAGGCACGCATTACTCTCAAGGGTTTTCTGCAGTCAGGCTGTGTTGTGCAGGAACACCTGCATGAACGAGATGAAGAAAGCACTGCAGTTGACAATAAATGTGTGCGTATGAATGGTTTTGGAGTTTTTGTGGCCAAAACTCCCTTACCTCTCCTGCAGCACGGCCCCAAAAGCAGCTGTGGTGGCTGGGGCAGCAGCAGGCAGGTACTGCCTCTCGCACACGCTTTGTACTGCAGAGCCTCAGCAGCACAGGAAGGTGTCTGTGGGCACAGCTCGGTATGAAACCTGTTACGTTACCGAGCCTGGCGGATTAACCTCCACACTAATCCAACTGGTATGCTTATTTGGAACTCATAATTGGGAGATGTTAGTGTTGGAGTGAAGTTTAAAGCAAGTCCAACATTTTTTGTATTTCTAATGAAGAGTCCTTAAAAACTAGGTAAGGGTAAAGCACTGTTTCTTTAATCCAAACTGCTAAAAGCCAAACGCCACATGAAGCTTAGATATCCAGCTAGGAACTGCAGAGCTATCTTTGATATCATCAAGTGTATCAGTATTCATCTCCAAACTTAAATCTGGGATTAATTTGGAGTATCTTCTTCTGCATCACTTGATGCAGTAAACTCCACAATCCTTTCTGCTGATGTAGGCTTTTTTGTAGATTGAAGAATGGTCGCTCCATGCCATCATTACTGAAAACGTGGTTAATTTTCTTCATCAGGAATGACCCGTTATAGAATCAGAAGGGCTGGACATTGAAAGATGTGCTGTAGTGTTAGCCACCTTCCCTTTCCACAGCTGTATTTATTGCATCCAGACAAAACTTGCTCTCCTTGGCTTGCCATTCAAACGCCGTTACCTCAGTTGTGTTACTAACACGAAACGAAACATGAAGCAGATGTCCAGTGGTTTTAGAGAGATTTATACTTAACTAATTTCAGTATCCAGCCTACAGATTTAAATATGATCTAATATCTGTTAAAGCTAATATACTCTCTCTTACTGGTCTTCAAAAGAAATCAGCATTTAAACAGGAGGCAGGAAAGATGGGCGCAAGGTGAGCACAGACCAGAGCCTAAGGGAGGGCCCTGCAGCAACGGGCTGTTCAGCACTGCCTCAGTCTTTGCGTGTGCAGAAACACAATGGGAGATACTGGGAGAAATTCAGCTGAACTCTAGTGAGCCGGCCTCCTGTTGGATACAGCTTGGCTAGCGTTTCTGTGACCGAGTCCAGCTATTTCAGTTAAGGTTTTGTTCTGATCAGGTCTTCGTGTGTAGTGGGGCCCTTTGCCACAGTCTGCTTTCAGCTACATAATTACCATTAGCTTTTCCCTGCTTCGAATGTGGTAAGTTTTAGGAGGTGGAATAGGATACCAGGGGTTATCAAGTATACGTACAATATTCTATGATACTAGCTAAAAAGGATTTTACCAGGAGTACTTTGATGTTCAAAGTTCTAGATAAAGAAATTTCCTTTTTAGAGTAAAGTTGAGGTTTCTCAGGTCAACTTACAAAAAATATTTCAACTTGTAACTCTAAAGCTATTATCTACTATTATTGGAAAAAGAATGTAAAATTTTATCTTAACATTAATGCCACCCAGGCTGTGATGTGAGATCTCACTGGTTCTGGTACTATTGCAGTGATGAATTTTGTAACTCTGAGATGGCTGTGCTTCTTGGGCACAGCTCAACATCAGAGCCCTGTTCACTAACAAAAAGATTAAATCTAATTTCATGTAGCTTGTAAGAATTGTTAAAAAATTAATTGGCTCTTAAGAGTACTGCTGGGATGGATCGTGCAAGAATAGCCGGAGCTGAGGACTGCTCAGGTCACAGGCTGTGGAGGGGGAATGTGACATGGACTATTTAGCATCTACAAATTACAGCTTAGTTGGTTTTATCTACGTGCCTGGTGTTTTACATATTAAGGAGTGTCAAGCATGAAAATACTGCTTAACAATATTCAGTCTGGTTTTTAATATCTAATCCATCAGGGCAAGTTAAGTGGGAAAGCAATAATCCTTGCCTACACTTCCCGTGCCAGAAATGAATAGCGCAGTCTAAACAAGGATTGACATGCTAATGAGGAGCTTAAACAGCCTGGGTACAGAAAACTGAAAATTAACCTGAAATGACATGTACGTTTTTACACTAAAAACTGAGCTTGTGATGAGTTTACTGAGTCAGTAAATTGATCTGTGCTTGTTTCAAAAAGCCAGCTCATCAGAGCGCTCACATCTCTTGTACAACAAATTTAATTATCTGAAATTCAGGAAGAAAGAACTACCTGAGTTCCAGTAATCTCACTATCCATGATGGTCAGAGAAGCCCCAGTGAATGCAGATGGCAGATTCAGCAGCCACGACACCATTGACTGTTCTCTGCTGTACCGACCTAAGGTACATTAATTTTGTATTTTGGGCTTTTGATACCACAAAGCTCTCGTGGGGGTTCAGAAACAATCACGGTTTCTTCTGGTTTTCCAGTTCCAAGTAGAAAAGGAGAAAGGTAATATTGACAATGGTGTCAAAACCATAATATGAAGGATAACACTTGTCGGTTGGTTACTTGAATTTTTATCTTGCTTGTTTTAAAATTTCTCACATAAATATTAATGACGCTACCAATAAGTTACAAAGTTGCCATTAAATACATTTTTTATCTTTCACCAGTTTCAAAAGCCCGGTGAGCAGAACACAAACCACAAAGCGCTTAGATTGTGTATCTGCACAAGAGAGATGGGAAACACATCACATTTACTTTTCTCTTTGAAGTGATATTTTGAGTCAGTCTCAGAGGAAGGCTGAGAGTCTGCCTTTTGTTGCTCTGTTAGAGTAAATATGCAGAAGATTCATCTCCTCTACACGGTAGTACTCAGGCAGCACGTCACATAACATACTCCAGGGTAAGGACTGAAAAACGTCCCTAGCCGTAGGGAGATTTCCATCAATGGAGAGAAATTCAACAGACCCACTCTATGATCTTTGCTTGGAGAAAGTTTAAAGGAGAACTAAGTCGTCAGCTTGTGGCATCAGCATTAATAGTATCCCACTGATCTCAAGATCACCATCTCCAAGGAGGGCCAGTCCTTCTCTTGAAAGGAAAGCTTTGCCCTTAAGCAGTTTCTTTATAGGAAGATTCTTTCTGTGCAGTATTGCAGAAACAGTTGTGCTTGATCTGTAGAGCATGTGTTAAAAGTGTGCTCATACTGAATTTGTTCCTAAGAAAACTGACCACGTGAGCATTGCAATTACCTAATTGATCTCTTTTCCTGCTTCCAAATCAAAAATGGGGTGAGGAATGCCAGCCAGAGGAAAGCTAATGATGTCACAGATAAAACTTTATCAAGGTGGGTGGCTTAGCATGCAAGATAGCGATGCCTTACCTGGTCTCTGAAAGAGAGATGCAATAAGAGTTTAAACACAGCAAAAAAACGATGAAGAGATGAACGCTTCTAATCAGAATCTCACCTGGGGCTTTGACAGGAGAAAGACCTGGAAATAGCTGCCTAAAAGCACTTTCTTGGTTCAAACATTGCCTGTTGAGAGTGTGTGGCCTTGCTGTATGCAGCAGAAAGGCACACTTCACTGGCACACACGAGCTCTGAGATTCACTGACTTTTTCTATCGCCTCATTCCAAATCTCCCTGGTTGCCTGTTCCCAAGCCTCCTGGTGCTTTTCTCCTGACACTGTCAAGAGCCCTGAAACCTGTTTGGTATTTCCTTGTTCTCAGCAGTAAGAGAAAGCTGCGTTAAGGCATCCTTAAAATAAGCCGAATAAAAAGTCGTCACCAGTAGCTTTGCGCGAGGCACTGGATTTTAAAAGCAGGTTGGGTCTAGAAGGATGAGAAGGTCACTTAAAGAAGCAAGAGATGCTGCCTTAGCGTTGGCGAAGGACGTGCAGTTTAAGTGTGTCTGGGCAGAAAAGGGGGGGCTAAAAGACAGAGGTGCAAGGAACGTTTTTAGTTTCTCTGTGTTTCTGCTGGGAGCTTTGCTTTACTGGTTAGCACAAGCTTCCATGTCGCCGAAGGGTCAGCTTTAGCAGGGGGTACTTCAGCGACCATTCTCCTCTGGAGGTAACGCGCATTAAAGCAGCA